ACCAACATGAATTTGACACAACTCCGGGAGGCAGTGGAAGATAGGACGGCCTGGCGTGCTCTGGTCCATGGGGTCACGAAGAGTCGGACACGACTAAATGACTAAACAACGACGAGTGCTTGATTTTAAAACAAGCCTGGGAGTTAGAAGCCAGTTCTATATGATTTAAAGTTAGTTCTTTGTTCATAACAGGGACAAATGCTCAGCTGCAGCTTCTTAGTTTGTTTTGCCACATGTGAAGGATAGATTGGTCTATCTCCAAAGGCTGTATGCAGGTACACAAGGCTCTTGTGTATGCTGTTTTATGAAGCTAGTCTCTGAGGCAGTATCTTATTTCCAAACAGCTGTATATCCTGAACATTTTATTCTTCCCACAATTGTGAGCCTGGTGGAAAATTATTATCCACTTAGTTTCACACATTGGACAGAAGTGGTAAACAGGTACATTGCATAAATAAAAAGAACTTGGTGAAAGGGAAGAGGCTGTTTTACTCTCCTTTGTTTTTTATCCATTAACTTAGTAAATGCTGGGATTATGTCATTATATATTCATGTGTATGTGGCAGAGCAGATCCAGAAGTGGATGTGAGTAGATACACCATTGAGCAAAATTCAAACCTCAGCTTCTTGATATGGATAGACATTGTCTTTTGACTTCTATCTGTGACTTAATTTGCACTTTATAGCCATGATGGTTGACTTCCTTCAGTTACCTGCTTTTGGGGATTTTTGAATTACATTCCTTGAATTCACCATGTAGCTCAGTCCTTCTGTTTCCCAGCTATTATGGGAGATTCATATCATAACCCAGACAAGAATGTTTTCAAATGCTCAGTTAGCTAATACTATGCTTTATATGGATGCACATGATTTGATGTGCACTTTTCAGCTTGCTCACCTGGTTGCTGGACATGTGTTTATTTACAGATGTTTAGGTTTTCTTTCAGGTCATAGCCCTGACAAGGTAGCTTAATGCTGAAACACATGAAATAAAATAAAATAAAATAAAATGCAACTCATTAAAAAACAATAATTTGTTTTTATTTCCTGCTGCATGCTTATCACATAGCTGGGGTCAAATTCATGTTTGGGGAAGGGCATGTCTGGACCTGTTACCTGTGCCAGAGGACTTGTAAGCACAAGGCCTAGTGTTTAGGCACCAGAATTTTGTATTTCAAGTTTTCAAAGTTTGGCAGCTGTTCTCTAAATTCTTGTTTGTCACCAAACAGTGAGAATCTGCTTGTAAATTGTAATCACTCATCACTAAGACTTAATCTGTGTTCACCCGAAATTTAAAAGGACATATTTTCTTGAAAAATGTCTGTTTCACTTTTGTTTTTGTTTTTTTGTATATGGAGTAATAAAATGTCCATAGTTCTGAGAAGATAGGAGTCAAAGAGCAACTGTGGATGTCAGGGAACCTTGGAAAAAATGCTGTGCATGTTTCTCAACTGGTTGCTTTGTCTCTTTGATGCTTCCTTTTAGAGACTAGGCCTCCTTTTTTTAAAGTGGGAGAAAGGAATGCACCTTGTGTGTTAATTTTATAGCCATGCATAACATACTTATATACATACATATTTTAGGTACATTCAAGATAAAATATAGAGGAAGTGTTCCCATTGTTATAACACCAAGCACTGGAGTGGTGGAACCTCAGACAAAACAGCTGGTTAAAATGGAGATCTGCACCGATGTACCCAGAATAATTAATCAACCAGCCATGTAAGTGTAGTGTTTGTGCTGTAATACCTTTTCTTCTTTCAGTTGTTTTTAATTTTACTTCCATGGTAAGTCTACTTGGTTATAAGCAAGCCTTACAGCTCTTACTGCTTTTCACTCTCTCTGGCAAAATCCAAAGAATCAAAACAAAACAAAAGACAAAATGAAATAAAGACAAAAACATGTGGCACCCTAAAAACTAACTATTATATTTTAATGTGATCTTTTGTGGACTCACATTAAAATATAATATGCCACATGCTTTTGTCTTTTTAATTTTTTTGTCTTTCTGTTTGGTTTGGTTTCTTTAGGTTTTGCCTGATATGCTTGCACAGAATAAGACGACTACCTCTTCCAAAACTTTTACTCTCTCTGTACTCTTACATAATGCTTCAATCCAATATCTGAAAATATTGCAACTCACAGTTGTAATCTGTGCAAAAAGAGCATCCTTAATATTCATATAATTCAATGGTGGGAAATGTTTTGATGTAAAATTCCATTGTCTTTGAGTTTATTATGCTTCTTAAAACGTACAAATTGGTTATAAGAGTAAGCTCAATTATAATTTTCCCTTCTTTCCAGGACATTCTTGTGACACTGAACAAGTAATCTATCGTATTTTTCCATGTATAAGATGCCCCAATGTATAAGATGACCCCACTTTTCTAACCCCAAATTAGAAAATTTGATCGCTGCTTTCTCTGCCACTTCCTAAGCCTGGGGCTCAGCAAAAGGAGGGGGAAAGCAGGGATCAAAGGGCTGAAGGATTGCTCTGATCGCTGTTTTCCCTGCCACTTCCAAAGCCCCATGGGGCTTAGCAAAACGAAGGGGAAAGCAGCAATCAAAGGGTTGCAGGATTGCTTAGGAAGTGGAGGGGTTAGGAAATGGAGGGGAAAGCAGCAATCAAAGTGATCCTGCAGCCCTTTGATCCCTGCTTTCCCCCTCCTTTTGCTAAGCCCCGTGGGGCTTAGGAAGTGGCAGGGAAAACAGCAATCCAAGCGATCCTGCAGCCCTTTGATTGCTGCTTCCCCCCTCCTTTTGCTAAGCCCCATGGGGCTTAAGAAGTGGTGGGGAAAGCAGCAATCAAAGTGAACCTGCATGCCTTTGATCCCTGGTTTCCCCCTCCACTTGCTAAGCTCCGCGAGGCTTAGGAAGTGGAGGGGGAAAGCAGGGTTTAAAGCGCAGCAGAATTGCTGTAATCCCTTCCCCCCTCCACTTGTTTTTGTTCTCTTGTCAGCTTCCTTCCCTTTATAAGACAAACCCCAATTTTTAGTGTAAATATTTTAAACAAAAGTATTGTCCTATGCATGGAAAGATACAGTACTTCAGTAGGAAGTTATCCATATTATCAGTGTGCCTAATACATTTGTGACATTACCAGGTTGTACCAGTGATGTTCCAGGAAAACAATTTCTGTATTTAATGCCTGTTATGGAATGCTAGGACTAGGCAACGTTTATATGCTTTAGCCATAAATATGTGTATCATTCATATGCTTAGATGAGATACTGAGTTCTGTATGATTAATACTGGCCAGTATCTTCTGCAGAGCTCCATCATATTACTGCGAATTCAAGTTTAAGCTTTTCTTCTTTTTTTCACTTTCAGGGTACTTAAGACTTATATGCAGTGAAATGAAGTCACACACACAGCCCAAAATAAAAAAAGACAAATCTTTTAATTAGCATCAGTCTGCTGCTGACTTCATTTGCACTGTGCTAGGGGAGGTCCACAAGGAGATACTGGCATTCATACTGTAACAGAGATCTCATTAGTGCATGTTTCCTTCCTATATTTTTTTTCTTACCTATTGCTTTTATGCAAAGTGTGGAATTGCAGGGGCGGCCCAGTGTGGAGATAATGATCAAAGCGAACATAGTGGAGCAAATTCTTGAGGTTTTGGGTGTGCCTCACTCAAGTACAATACAGTGTGTTGATTTTGGAAGTGTCTATTTTGGAACCTCCAAGACTGAAGAAGTTATTCTTCACAATAAAAGTCCAGAGCCAATGGATTGGGTTGCAGTCCTGCAAGATAACACTGTTGGCATAGAGATGGTAAGGAAAGTTCTTCAGTTTTACCTTTGGCTTCTTATGTCCTCATGTGTGGCATGGTTGGAGGCTAGTCTGAGAAAGAAGTAATGTTGGAGACTTTTCTTTGAGCTTATATTTCCTTTTGTTATTTATGGTTAGTTAGACTCTAACTCACGGGTCTCCAAACTGTGTGTGTATGTATGTGTGCGTGCATCCTGAATACGTGCGGAGAGGCATGTGTGTGTGTGTGTGGGCGTGTGGGCGTGTGTATGTGTGTACACATTCTTGTTCCTTCAGCCCTCAAAAATGTTGAAAATATATGGTGTGGCCCTCACTGTCAAAAGTTTGGAGACCCCTGTTCTTACTGGTGTACCTGTAAGCTTTGCATAACTCGTCATTTAGTCGTTCAGTTGTGTCCGACTCTTCGTGACCCCATGGACCAGAGCATGCCAGGCCCTCCTGTCTTCCACTGCCTCCCGGAGTTGTGTCAAATTCATGTTGGTTGCTTCAATGACACTGTCCAACCATATCATCCTCTGTCATCCCCTTCTCCTCTTGCCTTCACACTTTCCCAAAATCAAGGTCTTTTCCAAGGATTCTTCTCTTCTCATGAGATGGCCAAAGTACTGGAGCCTCAGCTTCAGGATCTGTCCTCCCAGTGAGCACTCAGGGTTGATTTCCTTTAGAATTGATAGGTTTGTTCTCCTTGCAGTCCAGGGGACTCTCAAGATCCTCCTTCAACACCACAGTTCAAAAGCATCAATTCTTCGGCGGTCAGCTTTCTTTATGGTCCAGCTCTCACTTCCATACATCACTACAGGGAAAACCATAGCTTTGACTATGTGGACATTTGTTGGCAAGGTGATGTTTCTGCTTTTTAAGATGCTGTCGAGGTTTGTCAGTGCTTTCCTCCCAAGAAGCAGGCATCTTTTAATTTCGTGGCTGCTATGTCCATCTGCAGTGATCATGGAGCCCAAGAAAGTAAAATCTGTCACTGCCTTCATATCTTCCTCTTCTATTTTCCAGGAGGTGATGGGATGAGTGGCCATGATCTCAGTTCTTTTGATGTTGAGCTTCAGATCGTTTTTTGCACTCTCCTCTTTCACCCTCATTACAAGGTTCCTTAATTCCTCTTCATTCTCTGCCATCAGAGTGGTATCATCTGCATATTGGAGGTTGTTGATATTTCTTCCGGCAATCTTAATTCTGGCTTGGGATTCCTCCTGTCCAGCCTTTCGCATAATGTATTCTGCATATAAGTTAAATAAGCAGGGAGACAATATACAGCCTTGTTGTACTCCTTTCCCAATTTTGAACCAATCAGTTGTTCCATATCCAGTTCTAACTGTTGCTTCCTGTCCCACATATAGGTTTCTCAGGAGATA